GTCTGGGAAAGACAACGTGGGGGTCCTTTCGCTTTGTTTTCCTAACTATTTATCAGTATCAAGCAGGATTTGAAACCCCAAAGCCTTTAAACGGATGTTTGATAAATCGAGGATTCCTCCCTGCTGGACGGGGAAAGAAGCCTTAGGGCCCTCAGACTGATCGTTCTCCTTTCACTAGGAGAGAAACTGAGGCTCCGAGATGCAAAGCTGCAAACCAGGCTCTCACGCATGAGCTAAGACCTGGACCCAGCTATCCTGGAGGACCCAGCGTGCTAAAATCAACAGCAGGAGGAGTCCTCCACAGTCACATCTCCTAATGGATGAAACGTCATCTCCGAAGGTAGCACATTTCCAGCACCCGCTCAAGATATATGACTAAGTATAACCCCTTCTGGGGATGCTCCCATTTTGTCTGACTAATTTGACCATTACCTTCCCTCCTTCAGCTTTTATCAGCAGCCTGTCTGTAGTTTATGACTCAGTGCTTTAGAAACAGGATTCCCAACGCTGCGAACAATGCCTCCAGCCAGAGCCTGGTGGGACGGGGTGGGGGGAGTTATCATCTTACTGATACTGCACTTTTTTTAACTGAAACCTCAGGCCTGGTGTATGTTACGTTTTAAAAAGACGGGGAAAGGACAAGATAATTTCCCCTTTGTCGGGGACATGGCCCCGTTGCCTAAGAGGTCTTGTGGGTGGTGTTCCTTTTAACAAGCAACTTATTATGTGCTGGGGGATGAGGGCACTGGGGGCGGGAAAGTAGGAAGGGGAAGTCCCAGGGTGTTGCATAATAACACATTGGCACCTTGGGAATACTTCCGGATGTGTGGGCCTCTGAAAAGTGAATGGGAATGCCACCATAAATCTGTCACCCACCCTCACACTGGTGTTACCAAAGCCAGGGAAAACAGCAGCTCGACTAAATGGTTGGTGACCAGAGATAAAAAAGAAGAAGGAAGGAAGGAAGGAAGGAAGGAAGGAAGGAAGGAATTCATTCAGATGGAGACACAAAATTGCAGAGTAGAAAAAGCAGAGGCTTTCTCCTTAGGCTGGAGATGGGATCACACCTCTGTGAGCTGCGTGACCTTGGGCAAGACATCACAGTAAGTCTCAGACCACTCATCTAGACACAAGAGCTCTCATTTAGGCTCACACGGAGCAAGGTGTGTGACATAGGGCATGCCACCTGGCGGGTATCCATGCATGGTGGTTGCTGGAGATACTGACCAGCCCTCCGACCCCGACACGCCCACACCCACTGAGGAAAGCAGTGTTGGATGTGCATGGAGCACGTCCACCTTGCTGGGAATGGGGCGAAACCTCACAGGATGAGGGCAATCTTCACTAGGGGTTCTAAGTGACAGTCAACAGAAACCAACTTCGGCCAAATTAAGCAAAACAAGCAAACAAACAAATCTATTCAAAGAGTATTAGATACTTATGGAAAACTCCCCGGGAGGGATGCAGAGTGTTTTGAAGCCCAATTCCAAGCTCAAGATTAGGCCCCGAGACTGGTCGTGGGAAGACATCTCAGAGCTGTGGCGACACATTTCAGTACTAACGCTGCATGGTGTCGTTGGTACTCTGCAAACACAACACTGTCTTTATCAAAACGATTTCTGCAGGGTCCCTGTGTCTTCCGATTCAGTCTTGGGTTGGTGTGTCTGATTAGGGGTCGGAGGGGAGTGCAGGTCAGGTGCCCACACTCAGCAAAGAGGGACTGGGAGAAGGAGGTGCTCGCATTGTCACCTTCTGCAGTGGATTCAGCCCTGCCTCACTGTCATTACAACAAGGAGAGTTCTTTCCTAAATCTAGAAAAGGGATTCAGAGTAACTGTCCACAAACAGTGGTAAATGTCTTCCACAGTCAAATCTCAGGACTGTTACCATTTTCCGGACAAGAACATTGAAGCTCAGCCAAGGTCATGTGTCTAAGCCGTGGTATGAACCCAAGTCAGTCTCAGTCAAGCCTGCTCTCTTGGCCGCCATCTTGACCACTGTCTTGACACATGGAATAATGAGAACAAGATCCACCCTAGCAAAGCCTCCCACACTCCAGCCCCATTTCTCTGACTCATGAAAGCTGGATCTGCTGGGAGCCACAGAGTCACTGTCTATTTTTTAGCGGTTCTTCTTAGAGGAAGATGTTTTTTCTAGACTCAAAGCCATGGAGTTTGTCCTTGGAATGCAGTTCCTAGGAGCTGGGATCTCTGGACAGACCCCTTCCTTCCTGGAATGTCCTGCGTCTCTGTGAGTCTCAATAATGGAATTCTAAATGGTGAGGTGGGGGGGTGCATAGCTGAGGTCTTTCCTCTTAATGCAACCACACTTCAACACGCAGGCAGAACAGAGAGCCTTCCCTGGACACCATCCACACCACTGACAGTTTTGTATTCCATTCCATTAATTCATTGCGTGAATTGTTCCACAGCAGTTATGTCCCCAAAGCCCTACAAGACCAAGAGCTGTCTTTTTAAAGTTTTTTTTTTGCAGGAAGCTCACCACAGTAAGCTCTGGAGTCAGACTCTCTGGGTTTAAGTCCCAGTTCTGCCACTTAACTGCATATCCTCAGTTCACCTCCCCGTGTCCCAGTTCCCTTTTTTGCAAAAGCAGGGCAATAAAAGAGTCATTATGAGGATGAGAGTTTATAAATGTGTTCGGCATATAATAGGTGTTCAATGATCAGAGAATGACAGTACGCAAGTGGATCCACGAGGCTCCAGGTCTCAACCTCTTGGTAACTCTCTCGTCTTTACTCCTCTCAACACAGCTTGAAAATCACAATCTACTCTGGTCTTTTTTGCCAGAGTATACGTGGGGAAGCAATGTCCAAGGAGGTAAAGCAAGGCAGGACTGGACTCAGAGTCCAGCTCTATTTCTTCTTTTTTTTGGGGGGGAGGTAATTCGGTCTATTTATTTACTCATGTATTTTTAACAAACGTGCTCAGTGCTCCTTCTGAGTCTCCCAAGCCCCACCACTGTATGCATAAAATTCAGTTATTTTTCTAAGAAATGGTGAATCATGTCATCATCTTCACCTTCTCTTTGCACTAGGCTCCAGCAACCTAAAGTACCAAAAGGTGGACCGGCAAACGTTGTCTGTAAAGGCCCAGACAGTAAGTATTTTAGGTTCTTTGGCCCAAAGGGCCTCTGCTGCAACCACTCAATTCTATGGTTGTAGGAAAAAACAAAAACAAAAACAAAAAAACAGCCACAGATAAGAAGACACGGGTGTGCTCTGTTTCAGAAAACTGCATTTCTAAATATAGGCGGCAGGCCAGTTCTGGCCTGGTTCTGGATGATAATTTGCAGACCTGTTCCATGGATGGTACCATGTGTTAACTTCACTGTCTCCCATTTTCTTCCTAGAAGCATTTAAGTCACATGTCATCCTAGTGCCGTAAGATAGACGTTTTCCAGGAAAGACGTGAGAATAATGTTGGGTGTCATGAGGATGAAGCAAAGGTGAGAACTGATTCAAACAGAGCCCACGATTATGAGAAATAGCCACACACTTGGAAATCACACAACAGAAGTACAGGTAAGGCTCTTAGGAGCACGTAACCCAATCCTTAGTTTCCATTTATAGGAGGTAAACTGAGGCCCAGACTAGGGAGGCGACTTGGTCATCTTCATGCAGTAAGTTCTAAGCAGAGCTGGGACCAGAGCTTGGTCTCCCTAAATTTAGTCCAAGGCCCTTTCCACTATACCACTAGGCTAATATCAAGCTCTTATTATAGATCATAGTCAAATCAACAGAGGAGAGGGGGGAAAAAAACCCCAACATCCGCACTTTTAAAATCCACGGCCCTGCCTGGAAACTCTCCCATCCTTCCTCCCACCACGTCTTCCTTTCTTCCACCCACAAACAGTTGTGGGACACCTCTATCGTGTTGCTCAGCCCCACTTAGTGCCAAGGAGATAGTAGGTGCTCAGTAAATGTGTTTGACAATGGAATAAAAAGTAAAAGATACATAGTAAAGACCTCACCGAGATCCCAACATACCAGAAGAAAGGTCTAAAAGCTCCCCTGTCATGTGCTGCAAATATGAGGACCCGATGGCATTCCCCCTCCTTTAGTCCTCCTAGAAAACTGCCTTTCAGTGAGAAATCTTCCCATCAACGTTTTCATCCCTTAGATGGAGCACCTCTGTCTTTTGTACTTGCAAATGAATTGTGATTAGTTTTCACCTCCAGCCCAGGGGATTAGCTGGGGGACCTTTGATCTTCAGGTATCGATTTGCATCTTAAAGGAAGTGTGATCTCATCTGGGCCAGCTCAAAATTCCATCCCTGCCCCCCAACCCCGTCTGTTTACCAGCCCCAGGCTGACCAGGGCCTCCCAAGTGGGGCTAAAACAACCAGATCAGTCAGGCTCCTAGGGAAGGCAGAGGAAAACACATTTCCCATCTGACTCCGTGAAGGTGGGAAAAGGACATTTGCTTTCTAAACACAGGCTGGTCTGCAATTCCTCTTCCCTCCAGTCGGAGAGACGGCCCCTGGATCCTGGCTAGAGGTTGTGCAGCAAAATGAGCTGAGCTTGTGGGTGCAAGTCAGACAAAATCAGGTTCAAGTCTGTCTTCAGTCACTTCTAACCTGTATGACTCTGGACACGTTTTACAATCTCTCTGGGTTTTCATTTTTCTCATCTCTAAAGTAAGAACAAAAGACTTATGAATCTATAATGATAATCGTCCTGGACAGGTGGCGTACAGAAGCGCAATGATGCGCATAAGATAAAGCTAGACCACAACAGTTATCACCAGCATCATCCATGGGAACGTAAGCTCCCTGAGGGCGTGGGTATCTGCAGTTTGTTCAGTCCACTGTTGCATTCACTAGTCCCCAAAACAGTGCCACACCCCCAAGGAGGCACTCAGTAAACACTTTGTAACATAGAGAAGTGAGTCATCATTTAGTTGTAACTACTGTGTTATTGTACTTGTAATTGACTGCACTGTCCTCACCTCCAGCCAGGCCCAGAGGAAGGACAAAGACTCACCGATGCAATTGAAGGACACTTCCCGTCGGCAGAAAAGGGAGCAGCCGTCCCCACTGACCTTATTCATGTCATCGCATTCTTCGCCTTGGCTTCTGCAGGGCGGGTAGAGAAGGGAAATTTGTCAGATCAGCTTCAGAACCACAGCTGGACATGGAAAAGTTCCTCTCCGGGGCCCTGAACTTCCCAGTGAGACCTCAGGCAAGTCCCCTTCCCTGTCCGAGTTTCTGTTTCTTCATCTTCAAAATGAGATGCACACAACGTGTAAATTTGTGACATCCTATTACATTCTGCCTTATTGTGTGTTTCTGGTGACAAAGCAGAACTCCTGCCTCAAACTGATTCTCTGAGATCTCCCCAGTTAAGTCAGCTGGTCAGATGGGAGTAAGAAAAGGATGAACGAACGAACAAATGGATGGACAGATCTTGCTCCACTGTGCCTGGGAAATCTCACGCCCGCCCCAGAATGGTGGATTGGAAGGAAATCTTCGAGTCTCTAAAACGTAAACGCTGTTCTGCCGGGGCCCAGCCTCAGCCTCTTCCCCATCCCCCCAGTGCACTTCAAGGTAAAATTTTTTCCATACATATGCTCAAGTGTGGTCTTCCTTAGATCAGAGAATGTTGCCTTCTCCACTGGGTGTGTCATTTCATGGTACCAAGAACCCTAAAGTCTGTGTATTATTCCCCTAGTAAATAAAAATGCCTCCTCTTGTTTCTTTAGGAATTATTTCCATCACCTAAGGATGATTCTGCAGAAGTTAGTATGGGCAAACAATAAGCAATGGTCTCTGAATAGGACCTAGAAGAGAAGGAGGAGTAATGACTGAAAGATTGGATGGGTTGCCCCTTCCTGGAAAATTTCCATCCTTCTTGAAACAGAAACTTGGGGTTAGACCCCCACGTTCTGAACTAGCTGAGTGATCTCAGGTGAGTCCCTTGATCTCCCTCTGATCTTTCTACCGTTGACAATTTAAATAAATTAAAATGAAAAATAATTCGACTTTCCATTCCTTAGTCACGGTAACCACAATTCAAGTCCTCAGCAGCTGGATGTAGCCAGTGGGAGATATGAGGGACAGCACAGAAGCTACTTCCATTATTGCAGAGAAATCCATTGGACGGTGTGATCTGAGATGCTGCATCTCAGTTTTCTCATGGGTTAACATGGAGATAATTGTACCTACTCCTTAGAGTTGGTGCAAGAGTGGAATGTCACTTAACGTGGCTGACACGGTGTGTGACATAGAGTAGATGGTCAGGGAGGGACAGCTCCCATTCCCACTTTGTGCTGGGAGGTCTCTGCAGACTGTGTGGCAGTCGTCCCTCCTTCCCCAGAGACCAGCTGGGATCTGTCACAGCATGGAAGAGGCCTCAGGCTTTGCCTTTCACGCAGGCAGTTAACACTGGGAAATGTTTGTTGCTGTTAGGAGGTGTCAGAGCAGCAGGATGGTGCCTTGCGATCAATCCTTATGACGACTAGGACACTGCATGGATCTCTGAAGAGCCACCCAAGTTCTCTTCTGTTTGCAAACCTATGAGCAAAGAATTCTATCTTCCGAGCTGGGCCAAAATTTCCAGTCTCTGCCAGCAAATCTTGCACAGTGGAAACTGGTGACGGCCTTGTGCTTCTTAGCTATTTCACGGGTTATCTGGGGAGAGGTTTTTTTTTTAACCTGGGCTGGTTTCCCTAAGCCACAGAGAACACTTCTAAACCCGCCTTCCCTCACCACCCAAACAGTATGTTCTATTGGTTTAAGCAAAACATTAGGGTCACCACAAATATCTTCTAGGCATGACAGATAGACAGGTTCTGAGAAACCTTCTTTGACCTCCCAGGCTGGAGTGGGTGGCCATCTTCTCGGAGTCCAAAGACAAGGGGCTCCATCTATCACAGCGCTTGTCAAACTGACTGCCTTCGCCTGTTACTTGAGAGCCCCATCCCAGGATTTAAGATGCCAAAGGATGTGACAGTCTTTGTCATCCTAGCACCCTGACGCCCGGCACAGTGTCTGGGACAGAGAAGACAGCACGTAGCTACTCCTTCGCTTGTTGGTTTTGCAGGGCTGTCGGCCACACAGCAAGGCAATGGCAAATCCAGATGAGAACCTGGGCCCTGGGCTCACATCTTAGCTCTGCTCCTAACTGGGTCTGCAAGCTTCGGAAAACCATTTTAATCTTTGTGCACAAGTTGCCTCTTTCATAAAGTATGGTAATAAGACCTATCTCGTATGGTTGTTGGAAGGACCCAAGGAGATACTAATGTAGCACAGTGCCTCCTGCCTAGTAGAGGCTCAATAAATATTTATACTTATCATTATTATAACCTTCATCCAGTGCTTTCATTCATCAGGGGCCTCACTGAGTGTTGAGTCTCTCTGTATTTCTTTGTAAATTCCTTTGCATGTATACAGCAAATTAGTCAATGTATCATCCTCTGAAAATCCAATTAGCAAAGATGACATTCCTTCTCCCCCTCAAAGTTTATTTTGCTTTTTTTGTTTGCTTTGCTTTGCTTTTGCTTAGGGAATCATCCATAAGCTGCATTTAGTTTTCTACAAAGTGTGCCAACTACTATTTGGTACCTATAACTTAACAAGTATTTGATGTCTATGAAGGATACTAATTCTAGGTAAAAAACACTAAAGGAAAAAAAAACCTTTGTTAAGAATACTATTTACGTTAATAACAATAGTAATAATTTCAGGCCAGTGAGAAGATTGATACTATTCGCAGTGTTTCACCAGTGTATCTATACCTGACTCCAAAATGGATAGACTGAATTGCAGATCTGGTTCTACACCCGGAGAGTTTCTTCCTTTATTCCTTGTGCTAAGTTAGAAAATCCCAGATCACAGTTAGGAGTTGCCAGCAGTGACCACGAGTGTTTCCTGGACATTCTGGACAGGCAGCTCAGTCTTGGACCCACAAAGGTGATGGGGCACTTTCCCGGGAGGACTTCTCGCTCTGTTGCTCAGTGTTTCATCAGACAACAGCCTCAATCGAGAGCTAGAAGTCGATGTCTTAATGTGGGAGAGAGAACAGTGATCGTCTTCCCTTTCCCCGATTTAGTTACATTAAGCCCTGAAAGCCGTATCTTCACGTTTGGTTATTGCATTTGGATGAAGATCTTAAAGACACACAACAGCACGCCATCAATTCCATTCTCTGACAAGTGAGGAGCTTTATCTTCCACGTTTGAGGAGTCATGTTCTTGGCAATCAGGTGGTTTGCACCATAACTCAACACTTAAAAATCTTTATATTATCTCCTCAGTAGTAACATCTTGATCATTCAGCAAGGAAATTATAGCTGCAGGACATTTAAGAGACGATTATATACCCCTGAGATGACATCACTTCAGCAAGCCACTTGAAACCGTGTAAATAATCCTTACTGGCCTTATCAGTGTCAACGTCAAAAAAAAAGTCATTCCTTATTTCAAAAACTTGACTTAGTACCTTTCTCGTAACAGCCTGTATATTTCAGCGTGCGTGGGGGAGCAGAATCTTGCACACACTACTCCCTTTTGACACAGCAAGCTGAGATGTAACTCACTGGCCCTCATCGGATCATAGACGCAACACTCACTTTTCCCTTCAGCACTAAGTCATGATCCGAAAGCAAACTGCTGGCCAATAACCGATGTCCGTGTGGATGGGTATCTGTGTACACACTCTTCCCTTGCGCGAATGTGTCGTCCTTGCTGTGCCCCGGCTGGGCCTCTCATCCCACAGCAAGTTTCCAGTTCATAGGACACACCACAGAATCATCAGGACCAAATTAACCGGCACTTGCCCTCCAGCGCTGGTGCCAATGATGAACTAGAAGAATCCTGCTCTTTCACGTAGGTACTACACCTACGAGCGGCTTCACGTTCTGTACGTCAGTGCTTTCATCCATCTGGGGAACGAATTCTCCTGACAGTGCCCCGCCCCCTGCAGTAAGAGTCACTGCAATGCCGTGTTGCACAGAGACTACCGGACACCCAGCAGTGTCATTTAACGAAGGGATTTTGCCTGTAGCTTGTTGTATCACCTACGTACACGATGTTTATCGTCAAATCTGCCAATAGTTTTAAAAGTCCCTTAGCAATAGTGTGACCTGTGACTGTGTTAGCAATAAGGAGGACAACTTTAGTAATAAGGAACTTAACTGTGTGTGATTTTTGGTCACTTTTTCATCTCTAGGGACAAAACTATTCAATCCAGTGCCAGAAAACACTGGTGTTGATTCTGGAGGAAAAAAAATTAAAAGGTTTACTACTTTTTTTTTTTTAAACAATGCAAAAAAGCCTTGATGGCTTCTTGCCACTATTTCTCAGTTTCCTAACATCTTGCCCAGTGGACAAGGGGATGAATGAACTCATGATCCAATAAAATCCATCTTTCAGACACACAGCTTTATATTTTCTAATCATGCATTTCCCTTTTTGTCTGTTTGTGTGGAATCTTTACACTGACCATTCCTTTGCCTCCCCGTACTTACAGTCATATTCGATATTCACTCTGGAGTACTGTTTCCTATTTATAGTCTCAACATTACAGGGAATTAGGATATTTCGCTCTTTCTCAGGAGCCCGACCCATCTTGTAAATTGTTCATATAACAGGATACGACAGAAATAACAAGTGTGCAGTGTTAATAAACATAAATGGTAACCAGCAAAGAGCATCAAAGTGTTTGGGCCCAGGAACACTGTGTCCTGTCGACTGAACGTGGGCTGCGGTGGCAAAGACTAACGGAATCCACGTAGCACACGTAAAAACAGTTAAGAACAAGAGCATCCTGGTGGTGGGTGCGAAAATCCTAGATGGTATTACATACTTGAGAAATGTATGTGTTCAAAAAACAATCATTGCTTTTCCCCTGAGGTCAGCAAACTGCTTGCAGGCAAACTGACAGACTGCTTGTGATCCCTGGTAACTCAGAGCTCACACACTGGGTGGTACCTCTAAGCTCTTCTGGTTGGCACCCTGACTGCCTCTTGACCTCCTCAGCATCAGCCCCACCCCTCTCTTTCGTTAGATCTACTCACTTCTGGATGATGCCATCGCCGCAGTACCCGCTTCCATGGATGTAAACGGCAGCCGGTGATGGCTCACTCTCCTCATTTCCTGAAATAGTGATGACCCAGTACTGGTACACACTGCCAAGGTTTAGATCCCTGGAAAACATAAAGAAGGCTGTTAACTCGACAGGCACAAGGCTGGGGGCAGACAAAATGGACCTCCTTACGTGCATTTCCGTCAGTCTTGCTGGGTTTTGCTATCACATGCATATTCAGTTACCCAACAATCTTTCATGTCTACTGTGATTAAGGCACTCTCCTATGCACGATGGACTGCCCTGAAGTATAGCATCAATTGACAAGACCATGAATATTTACTAGGTACTTTTCATCTTTAATTTCACCTTTGCAATTACCCTGGTGGGGAAGAAATGAATGACATGCAGCCTGCAATGAAGGTGTTTGGGAGAATGCCGTCCAGGACAAGAAAGTGGGAAAAGCAAAGGCACAGAGGTGGGAAAGGAGAAGCACCATGCCAGACTCTGGGCGTTGTCTGATCTGTTCCCCTCGTTTGAAGACCTGGGCAGAAACCCCATCACAAGCGGGCAAGCCCTTTGCTTATATTTCACATCCAGTGATTCTCTCCCTCCCTGCCACTTGCTCCTCTTTGTGTCTCTCACTCTTGACTAAAATAATAATAGCAGCAGCCCATTCATTGAACCGTCAGGCCTGGCGATAAGCAGTTTCCATGAATTTTCTCATCCGAGAATCAGAACAACACAACATGTGTACGAGTATTTTTCACGTATATCTTACAGGTGATGAATCTGAGGCACAGAGAGGGTAAACAACTTGCTTATAACCCTGTCATTAAGTTATATTTTGCATTCTGCCCCCCTACACCCTACATCAGGCCCGTTTTAACAGTCTCAACCCTTGCGAAGGGGGAGTCCTGTCCTAGAGTTGCAATCCCAGGCATTGTTCCTGCTAGATTTCCAGTGTGCCTAGACTGCAGCTCTCCTCTGCTCTCAAGACCTCCTATCACAATGCCTGTTCCGCCTTCCTTGCACTCATCCTCACACCAGTTTACCTCCCTCCCCTGTGATGCCCTCTCAGCTCCCTGCTTGAAGTCACCCTGCCCTCGAAGGAACCTGGATACTGCCTGCCATTTATCCTCCAAGGCAAAGACAGATTTACAGAGACTCCACATGACCCAATCACCAGCCCCCTTTGCTTTTTGACCATTTGCAAAGGGAGATGTTACTCCTCTCCTTCATCTCCCTCTGCACCAGTTATTGACTTTTTAATAATAAACAGAAGTGTCATGGGAAAAAAAACACAAAATGATAATGAAGGGCATTCCTATCAGATTCCAGAGTTGGGGCTGGGGGGGGTGCGGATTTCATAAACAAAAGAACGGTGTCGAAAAATGTCAAGTCCTCCTGCCCATCTGTTGTTTCAGCTGCTGTTCGGGTTGGGGCTGTTTGGATAAGGTCAGTAGGATAACAGGTGCAGGGACAACAGACATACAACGTCTCCTGGCTCTCAACACAGCAGGCTGGAGCTTACGAGCACGGAAGGAGGCTGGTGAGGAACACAGCCTTCCTGACGACGCTGGGTTTATTACCCCGAAGGGCGTTCATTTCAGCAGTGCTGGAGCCCACAGTGATACTGGGGTAGACCAGAAGACCCTGGGGATTCCATCACTGACCTGTCGATGTAAACCAAGTAGTTGAAATGCATAAAAACCTTGAGATACCCTACGTACGACTGTATGAATAACTGTTGCCTTGTAAAACTCTGGAATGCTAATTTGTTGATATAATTATAGGCTTTTAAAAAAGTTTATTGGATATTTTAACCACCTCTACACTAATGAACGTATATATTTTCTGATGGTGCTTCTAAAGCTGGAATATTGCGCCCGGAGGGGAAAGAGTGGTTTTCCTAGGGGACACGTGAAGGCACAAGATAAAAATGACATGTGTTCTACTGCACATGAATTTTGCTCTAAAATACGGAGGTATGTTTTACACTATACAAATATGGCCACATTATGGAATAAAATAAGAAATTGTCTTCAGGCTACATCCTAGGCCACCAGGGGCATCTGGTCACTGTCTGAAGCAGATGGAGTGCTTCTGGGAAAAGCACGAGAGTGTGAAAATTACTTCTCCGTGTTGTGTTTTTCATTTGTGGTGTGTGTCACACATGATTTATGGTTGATAATATTTGGGTGCTCTGCTAACGTTTGTGAATATTTTCTTCCTCCCCCACCTTGCCCTCCCCTCCTCCTATCCTCCTCCTCCTCCATAAACACCACTTTGAGGCAAACAAATATGTTTCCACTGGCTTCATCCATGGCTAGCGGAGAAGTCACAGACAGGAGTTTCACTGCCCTGAGCCTATTTCAAATTAGTCATAAACCTGGACTCAGAGCATTTTCCCACAGATTGAATGTGAGAATGTATGTATATTGTGCCTGGCCAATAATAAGTAGTTAATAAATGTTAACCCATTACTATTAACGCTGCATTATCCACGTTCTCACTTACTGGAGTCATGCTATGCTCTCTTTGCTAGAAGGGACGGAGTGACAGATAACTATATGTACACCTGGTTTGGTAAATGCAAGAAGACAGACGGGGCTCACCTATCAAGTGTCATAGCTTGATGGAAAGTCTCTTTTCTACCACATCATTTGTCTAGAACATCCTCAGCGTCGGTAGGCTTGCTCTTTCTCGAGGTGGTTATTCCAACTTCAGAAATTTCTGGATCCCAGAAGGTTTATCTTTACCTTGAGGCAAAACCCATCCCCTAATAACTTCCACCCACTGTCCTCCTTCTTACCCACCAGCATCACAGAGAACACATCTGACTGGTAGAGAAACCCTAATAATAACCCTCCTTCAACTGTGAGCATGTGATGCAGGCATCATTATCTCACAGAAGCCTGACAGTGGCTCTTTGAAGCAGGCGTTGTTATCCCAAGTTTTCAGACAGGAAAACAGAAGCCCAAGTCATTCCCTTCATAAAAAGGTAGGGAAGGGAGAACAGGGTACAGATACTACAAAAAAGATTGTATTTTTCCACTGCAGAATTCTTGTGATAAAACTATAGTTTCCCCAAGTTAAAGTCACAATTAATGCTAAACAAGGGCTCCCTTCTCAAGAGTCTAAGGTAGAAGAGAATTCTTCGAGGACAGACCAGTGGCTGCTGGAGGTTAGGACCTATTTCATGGCTGGTCTAAAAGCAGGACACTTATGTCAAGTTGTTCCTTTCAGCTGCTCTGAAAACCATCTGGAAAGTCTTTGCACATGAACTGCTTCCCCTCCTGAGGCAGACCCTAAGCCTTGTCAAGCTTCCCCACCCAAAAGCTTCCATGGCATTCCCTCTGCACCCCTGCTGCCACCTACATTCCTACCTTGACGGCTGAAGCAGCCTCTGGCCTGCCCTCCTGCCCCTAGTATCTCCCTTGTCCAGTCCTGCCAACACCATCAGAATATACTTAGACTATTCTTAGAGCCACTCTCCAGCTCAAAATCTTCTAATTTAGTGCAGTGAGGGAGTGTGCTACCAAGCTGAAACTTCCTATTTACTCTTTGTTTGGAACCAAAATTTTACCACTTCATCTGAAACATGATTAGTTTTATCACTTCTGATTTCTAGTTTTGAATGGGTGTTTTTCACATCCTTGGTATGACTGTGTGTTTTTTTTTTATGTTTTTAAACATTCAATCATCATTCTTTCACAAATGCCTCAAGTGACATACCTGCCTTAGGTTAGAAACAATAATCCCAGCATTTCTAACTGGTATGATTTTTTCAGTATTCCTCCTCAGAAATATAGACAGTAATATGTATCAAACTTGGAGCACAATTTACAGAAAATTTAGTTATAGCTCATGAAATCATTATTTTAAGGAAATACACATTCTTAAGGAATCTAAGCAACCTATGACTTAGCTTCTGACAAAAACGCATATTTCTTAAAGTGTTGGTGTGCAGTTAATATCTTGATAGGTCAATTAAACACCCATCTAAAATCTACAGGCAAGTCATTTCACTTTTGGGGTCTGTTTTTCTACGTTTTAATTAAGATATATGATTCTTGTCCCATATCAATGTGAAGATACAATGAGAAATATGAAAAGTACAATAGGAAGAAGAGAGGGAGAACCTCACTGCACAATGGAAATATCCCATTTTGCTGCTTCCAGGAAGTTCTCTCGGAGTCTCCTGATTATTCCTTATTGACCTCCTACTGTTCCATGTTATAATATTAATTTATCACACTCTATCTCTCCAAATAGTCTGCGTTAACTCAACTGTGTCATCCTTTTTTTGACACTGCACCTTCTGCAATAATTATAGCAATTATAGTTTCCATTTATTGCCTATTTATCATATGCCAGGCACTAAGCCTGGTAGTTTCTATGAACAATCTCATTTAATCAAAACAACAGCCCCTTGAATAATTACTATGAAGAGTTTTAGGATGAGGGAACTAATACTTAAGGAGGTTAAGCTAGCTGCCCACAGTCACATGGCTTTCATCATAGGGAAGGGACTTGAGCCAAGTCACCTAATTCCATCCCAAGATAGTGCTTTCTGGAGGTGGAAGCCCCCAGCTCTTAGACACTGGAAAATACAGCAGTACAGAAGTGAAAAGACCTAGTTTCTGAATCGAGTAGAGTCTGCATTCAAAGACCAGTTGGAAAGTTCCAGAAGCTCCAAGAGACACACATTCTCTTAAATACCACAACCGATTCACTGACAGTGGGCTATTTCATCTCTCTGACCATCCATGTCTTCAGCTATGAAATGGAAATCTGGGGAGGACGTGATGAGCAGCTCTAATTTAAGAAGGAATGTAGGGTTGTGTCTTTCTCTCATGAGCTTCTCTGCAGGCTAGAAGCTGCCTGATTCTGCACTGAGAATGGGTGTAGTTCAGAATCTACCACCCAGATTGACGGAGCTGGAAGACGTGGTGGGGGGACCACCTAAGATGTCTCTGGCTCAGGAAGAGCCCAAGTATTCCAGCGCTGCCTTGGGCTACGGATGAAAGGGGAGTGCCTGGGCACTTTGGATACCAGCTTCCAGCCAAGAATAGGAAGAGAAGGAAACCATCACTTTTGAGCCTGAGATGATGTGCC